GTGATAAGTAGAAAAAGGATATATTTTATACTTGAATAAGTAAGTGTTATAGCTTACAATCCCATGTAAATGATAAATATCAATAAAACGATTGATTCTTTTTGCTTTCACATTGTTATTTTCAATTCTCGATTGCATTCGAGTGTGAACAATTATAGCAACATAAAGTACAACGCCGCTCGAATTATCTCGAGTGTGCACAGTTTGGCCAGTTTAGCGCGCTCGAGTTAACTCGAGCGTGCACGTTAAGGGGTTAAAGCTATGTAAACATGAGCAGATAGAATGATAGAATGTAATAAAGTAATTGGACCGCGGCGTTCTGCATTTTGTCAAGGATGCCAGGACGATATTGAAATTTCTTTCTGAGTGCGTTAAGTCCTTGAGTCGTTAAGTTATCGATTCTGATTGATGCAGAACGATCGAGGATTGGCTAAATCTCGGGAGAATCGACGGGAAACGATCTCCATTGCCTGCGGCCGTGTTCGCTCCGCGGGTCCAGGAAGAAGGCCAGAAGTTTGACAAAGCGAGCGACATGCTGGATAATTTGTTCGCCTGGTGTAACGCAGCCGTGACCGATTACGATTACGATACCAAGCTGTGGTCGGTGATCACGCTGGACGGAAAAAAGCGGAAGTACTCGATACCGAGGATCTACATCAGGTTTTACGCAGAGGACCCGAGGATCTGCGCGAGGAGAATGGCTGCCGCCATCGAGGACAGGCGAATCGCTGAAGAGTCGATAACGTTAGCTCGATCATATCACCCTTGACCGTTCGCTAAATCATAACAGTACTCTGTGAACTTTCGCATAGGTATAATTTTTATCTGGATTGCATGAAACTGGACGGCATGAAGACCATGACCGAAGCCGAGAAAGACGCCATTGTTCGGGCCAGCTTGACCCGTGATGACACGAAGTTCAATGAGACGGTCATATCAGCTGTGCGTAACTTTCGTTTTTTAAATATTCCGTTTTGGACAACAGTCGCTTTCTGCTTCGAGGCTCGTTAAAACCGTCGCGACCGACCCTAATTTCCACAATTATCTAAATCTCGTTGAAAAAGCCATCAGAGGGAAATAGTCAATTGTTTTTCTCTCAGTTTGAAAGTTTCTTCCGGGCAGAATTTCATTTCAAATTTTATTGCCGACGAGCACCGACGACATAACTAAATTGCAGGAGGGTGAATCTGATTAAAAGACTCGGGTCTCCCGTCCCGTTTCACCCTCGCTGAAAAGTGGTCCGCTCCCTCCTTGAATCAGCAAAGTCATTGGCACAGTCACGCATTTAAAGCCGCCCCTCGTTTTCCAGTTGATCGAGGAGATCTCCTTGGATTATCAGCGGACGATGTGCGATATCGTGTGGAGGCGAATGATCCGGCTGAACCCGGAGTTGTTTAAGTTCATCACGTGGACACCGAGAGTCGAGGCGGAGAAGGTGCCGGATACGGGGAAAATCGATACGGGCATGAGAAACTTCCAAGTAATTGTCCCTTTATCAATCTACATGTTCTCTACTGCAGTTCTCGTTTATGCCAGCTTGCCGGTTCATCAAATACTTGTCGATAGCAAATCTTCCCGCCCGGATTCTAACGAAATAAAAATGTACGCGCGAAATGATCGAAATGGAATTCTGATTGTCCAGGAGATACAGCGGTTCTCGCACTGGTACACACTGTACGTGATGAGGGAGGTTTACGAGGCGATGTCCTGCATCGTGATTGAATGCATTCACGTGTCCTCGATGAACCTGTTTGCCTCGAGCATCGGTAAAACCGCGAAGTTGTGGGAGTTCGAGGACATGCAAACGCTGGCCACTAGCACGGTAATCAAGTATCTGAAAGAGCCGTGGCTGGAGAAGATCACACAGTGCGTGCGGATGCGTTTGAGAGAAGTCGGCAAAGGATGGTTCAATTTAGACCAAAAAGTCCATGACGTGTACGACGTGATGAAGCTGCACCGTTTCATGAATCTCGCCACGCTACGTATGCAGGTAAAAAGACCAGAAACTGGACGGGAAAATCTTTTTTAAGAACGTCCTTGAATGCGAAAGCTTCGCTATAAATAGGAATGAAAACTGTGGGTGAGAGAGATTAAGGATAATCGATGGGTGGCCTTAACTTGGGTGAGTGGGAGAAGCTACGAAAAGATGACATTCGATGTTCGAGCAATTGCGATGATTGCCATTTTTCTTCGTGCAGCTGAATACATACTTCGTTTTGTGAGTCCGTGCGTGGGATTTATTTACATAAACTGTTCCCGAAAGATACATATTTGACGTGAACACGATTCGTTTTTAAAATCAAATACATTCTTCAAACAGCATATCAATTTAACGTGTCAACAAACGATTATCACGCGGCTGATCGAATTGAAAGGTTTTGTAAACGTCCGCGTAGCACGCGCTTCGGATTTTGGTGGAGAGCTCGATCGTGACGTTCACCGACAGCTTGGTGAACCCGGCGCTCTGCGCGCTGGGCGTGAAGGAACCTTTCTCCTGGGGCGAGAACTTTGTCGAGAGCCGGTTCCAGTCCTCTTTCAAGCCCCTGTTCAACATAGAAATTGAAATGGACGAGAAGGCGGCGTTCTACTCTACCGATCCCGATGCTTTTGTGGTGAGATCGATCGAAATATTTCGGAACACCGCAGAGTTTAGAGTTTGTTTATCCGACATCGTTATCCATCTTGTTTAAGGAGGTCATCGTGAACTTGTACGACAGCGCGGTGGCCAGCAGCCACCAGATTCGACAAATACACCCATTCTTACTTCCGTCCTTAAAGTTCCCTAACGATATTTTCCTGAGCTCGGTTGGTTTGCTCGATGAAAACGTGTGCAGAATACGGGATCGTATCAAATTAGCTTACCAAAAGTCCGTGATACCCCTCAAAGCATACGCCGCGGAATTCCATCGATTCCTCGAGCTGTTCAACCTGGACGTTGCGCAATACGTCGAGTAATTCAATTCCTTAATATGATTTTACTTTTCCTTACTCGGCTCCTATTAATATTCGGACAACCTTTAAAATGCGATAACTTTTTTAGAATTGGGCTAAACGACTTGAATTTTTTTAGATGATACAGGGACCAGTCTACTAGATCATAACGAGAATGCTTTTTTAAATTTCATTGAGATCGGTAGACCTTGGTATGAGTTCTAAACAATTGAAGATCACAAAGATCGCAGTATTGTGATACACAGTACTTTCGATCACTAAGTGAGAGAAATCTGCAATTTCTAAAATATTTTAACGCTTGCAACTTGACTTTGCGTTAACCGATAGATATAAAGTCAAAAAACGAGTCATTGTCCATTACACTAGTCCGCTATCATCTAAATAAAATTCTAATCGTCTAATCCAGTTTTAAACAAGTTATGGCGTTTTGAAAAGTGTCAGAATATTAATGGGAGCTCACTGTAGACCCATCCTATTTTGTATCTAGCACCTAATTGTATTTACAGTGGCCCGCAAAAGTGTTCGTACACCTTTTAAAACGTATAATAACTATTTTAAAACTCAACTGAACGACTTGAATTTTTTGACTAAAATGCTTTTTTTAAATTTTGCTATTACTTGGAATGATCAAAAAAATAAAAAAACTTTAGTTTTTTAACTTTTTCATCTGAGCCTATAACAAAAATTAAACAAATACCTTTCGTAGATCTCGATGATTCGTATGCCTGCCGAAAATTTTTATCGAAACCGGTTAACCCAGAGTCGAGTTACAGGCGTTGAAAGATTTAAAAAATTGCAGATTTCTTCCAGTTTTTGGTCAAAATCGTGATAAAACTGCTATTTTTTCCATCTTTAGTCTGTTGTAACTCACAACGTCAAGCGATTTTGATACAATTTTCAACATGCCTAGAGGAGAGGCATATAAGAGCATATTTTTCTTTTCTTTTGTCATTCTAAGCAATAGCAAAATTTTAAAAAAGTATTTTGGTCCTCGCCTAATAGACCAGTCTCGCTATCAACTAAAAAAAACTCAAGTCGCTTAGTTCAGTTCTGAAAAAGTTATTGCGTTTTAAAAGATGTGCGAACACCTTTGTGGCCAGGCTCACTACCAGCAGGCTCGAGAATGTTATATATTTCCACTGGCAGGGACATGAACCAACAACAGGATCTGACTACGCTAGACATAAAGGACGCGATAAGTTTCCAACTCACGATGCAGAAGAACCTCGAAGTAATACTGCCGAAGTGGATATCCATCGGACCGTTCAACGTGATCGTGTTCCCGTTGAAGCAGTTCCTGATGCAGAAACGGCGCGACTGTGCCACGGGGTTGCTCGAGATGCTCACGCACAAATTGCGAGCCGAGGTCGAGGCCGTCCTGGACGATTACCGAGATATAAGGATCAAGCTGAAAGAACAACCGCAGAGCATCGAGCACGTGTTCGAGATCCGCGAGTGGATGGAGACGATACCGTTGCGAGTGCAGGAGCTCGAATCTAAAATGGACAAATTGAAATTGGACTTCGACGTGCTCGACTTATTCTGGTGGAATCTGTCCGACGAGGATTTTCAGGCAAAGTGGGAGGCCGTCGGCTCGCCGTTTCAAATTCAATTGCAGGTAGATATCCACCAGCATGAAATCGTTTAATGTCATTTTCTCGGCACGTCCAATCGATCACTAAGCACCTCCGCTCGGAGAGTGCACCGAACGAATGATTAATTCCTCTTCGCAGATCGATGAAACGGACGAGCGGCTCGTCGAGGAGCAGGACAAATTTTATAAAATCCAGATCCAGGACGAGGTCCTGCTGCTCGAAAAGATCGACACTTTGGTGGGCAACGTTCAAAACATCGGCCTGCAACACGACGTGACCCGAATACACGAAACCGCGCTCGACGTTAAGCGCGTTTGGAAAGCGATGACCGAGTGCCGGGAGAACGGTTTGTTGTTGAACGAACGACAAAAGCTGTTTGGCATGAAAGTGGTGCCTTTCGAGAACTTGCAGAAGCTTATAAGGGACTTCGAGCCCTATAGAAGCTTATGGGTGACCGCGTCAGGCGAGTATTGAAGCACGAAATCGTTCTCCAATCGAATTACAATTCATTTCAGTTTCTCGGCATTCTTTTGTTCACGTATCAGGAAAGTTCTACGTATCTGAGTATTGGTAGAGCTTTCTATGAACTCCAATCGCAGCGATTATTACGTCTACAAGATTCTTTGGTATTTATTGATTGCGCTCGACAGATTGGCTGAAATGGTACGAGGTGTGGATGGACAATCCTCTGATAAATGTAGATGGCAGCCAAATGGAGAACCTTGTGGTCGATATGTACCGGGCGATCACTCGGGCCGTCAGAACGTTCCAAGAATTTCCCAGTGCGTGAAACTTGAATTATGATCAAAGTACTTACGTTCCGCCTCGGTTGCTTCTCACCGGAAACGCTTTGGTATTCGACGGTGGTATTTCCCCGAGAATTTTACTTGAACGTTTTCCCAATGTTTAAAAAATGTGTTTCGAAACCGAATTTATTGCGATCTTAGATCTCAATGAGAATAGAGGCTTCGCGCTTTAAAGCGACACCGGCTAAATCGCTGTCAGCGCGCGAACGCTGAAACGAGACCGGTTCGGCGTCGACTCGATTCTAATCCGTGTTTTCATTCTGTTACAGAGGTGCAAGAAGTGGCAACACTGATCCGGGACCAAATGGACGAATTTAAACCGTACATTGGATTGATCAAATCTCTTCGCGATCCGGGAATGAAGGATCGACATTTCGAGCAGCTGAGCGCACAAACCGGCATACAAATGGCGCTCACGCCCTCGTTAACGTTTCGATCGCTGCTGTATTTCGGCATCGAACAGTTCGAGGAACTAGTGAAGACCGTGGCCGAAACGGCCGCCAAAGAATACGCAACGGAATGGACGTTGAATAAGATGATCGTCGAATGGGAGCCGATCGTGATGGAATTATTACCGTACAAGACCACCGGTGGGTGAAAAATGAGGTCGAAACATTCGCGACGGCGACAAGGGCCGTGTTTGAGTTGACGCGTGAAGAATCTTCTGCTGGCACGATTGAAACCTCTGCTTCCTTTTTCGTCTATCCGCAGGTACATACATCATGAAAGTTACAGAGGAGGTCATGATGCTTCTGGACAAACATATACTCGACGTGCAACAGCTGAGTTTCAGCCCTCTGAAAACCGCTTTCGAGGACGAGATCAACGAATGGGAAAACAAGCTGAAGTTGACTCAGGAAGTGCTTCATCTTTGGACGGAGGTGCAGAGGTAAAGTGTTCCCGCGGTACCAGGGAAATCGTGGGTAGATATTTGGTGTAGCTAACGGAGATTGTTTGCAGAGAGTGGATGTACTTGGAACCAATATTTACGTCAGAAGACATCAGCACACAATTACCTTCGGAGGCAAGGAAATATAGTGCTATGGAGCGAAACTGGAGAAGGATCATGAAGAATGCTTATGACCATCCTTACGTAAGACTGGGCTCGATGCCAGAAATGAGAAATATTGAGTTCCGAGAACGTTTTCCGGTTCTCTTTTAATAATTGTCCTCGCGCTTTTGTTTCGTTCGAATATTTGCAAGCTTCGTTCGGAGCAGAGCTGTTCAACAGCTTGCTCGTAGCGATTATCAGCCCAGGGCAACATCGATCAGCGGACTATATGTATAGGTTAAATTGTATAGGTCCCACTTCCGAGAGCAACGGGACCCTTCCTTAGGCCCTCTTGGGACTCCCCATCAGTAACGACACTTTATTTGAAGACGGTGGTCGACTATAGATTACGTCGAGCATCGCCCGATTGGCATATAACGGCAATGCGTGCGAGTGAGAGAGGAAGGATGGCACGAAAGTGTAAACATTTCGCTCTTGTACTTTCCAATATAACTTCGACGCTTGCCCGTAGCTTTGCCTTTACCCGCCGCAAGACCTGTTGAACAGCTCTGGTTTAGACCGTGGAAAATATTTGTTGAATTTCGATCAATTCGGTGTCTACCTAGACGATACCCTTACTCGAGAAAATACTGCGCATTCACGAAGCACGCATTAACAAATCCCCAAAGTTTCGAATCGATGCGTCCAACGGGTTTTCTTGAGAAAATTCCCAAAGATCGCCGGTGATTTCGACTCGAAGTTTTCTTGAAAAGCGTCAATTTGAAACCGTTCGTCGTCGATCGTTCTGGACGCAGGTCATCAAGATCTGTCCGGACAGGAATCTGCTGGAGAGCCTGCAGGAGTGCCAAAGCCTGCTGGAGGTGGTGCACAAGGGTCTGTCTAATTATCTGGAGGTGAAACGTCGCGCCTTCCCGCGGTTCTATTTCCTGAGCGACGATGAGTTGCTCGAGATCCTGGCGCAGGCAAAGAACGTGCAGGCGGTACAGCCGCATCTCCGGAAGTGTTTCGAAAACATCCAGATGGTCCGGTTCGAGGAGGATTTGCAAATCACGCGGATGTACTCTGCGGAGGGCGAAGAGGTCGTCCTTCGACCGCCCATGTACCCCATAAGAAGCGTCGAGTATTGGTTGGGTGTTTTGGAGGGCGTGATGCGGAACACCATCAGAGAGATCGTTCGTGACGCTTTAGCGGTCGTCGAGACCACGCCGAGGAAAACATGGGTCTACATGTGGCCTGGCCAAGTGACTTTATGCTGCGGCCAAGCGTATTGGACTGCGCATGTGGAACACGCTATTCGGAACAATGCGCTTCGCCATTATTACCAGGAGATGTTGGGCCATGTATGTTTACTTTGCGCTTCCTTGTTCAGCATCGACAATGGCCGTCTCCGGTCTATGCAATTGCTATCGATCTGTCGATCCGTTTGTTAATTCATGAGTCGACCCATACAGTGGCCCACATAAGTGTTCGTACACCTTTTGAAACGTAATAACTATTTTAAAATTAAGCTAAATGTCTTGAATTTTTTTTTAGATAGTAGAGGGATTGTTCTACTAAACGATGACTAAAACGCTTTCTTTTTTAATTTTGCTATTACTTGGAATGACAAAAAAATAAAAATCTCGTCTTTTTAGCTTTTTTTATCTGAGCCTACAACGAAAATTAAAAAAAATGTCCTTCGTAGATCTCGGTAACTTATATGCATGTTGAAAATTAAAGATCGCAAAAATCGCAGTTTTATCACTAATTTGACCGAAAACTGTGTGAAATCTGCAATTTTTAAAATCCTTCAACGCCTGTAGCTCGATTCTGGATTAATCGATTTCGATCAAATTTTCAGCACGCGTATAAGTTATCGAGATCTACAAAAGGCAATTTTTAAATTTTCGTTATAAGCTCAGATGAAAAAGTTTAAAAACAAGTGTTTTTATTTTTTCTTTTCATTCCAAGTGATAGTCAAGTAATTTAGCCATCGTTTAGTAGATTAGTCCCTCCATCATCAAAAATAAATTCAATATAGTTCAGTTTTGGAAAAGTTATTGCGTTTTAAAAGGTGTACGAACACTTTTGTGGTCCACTGTATGTCCCTAGAATATCCAACAACGGTTACTGTATAAATGAAAAGTTGTACGTACAGACACAGGGTGCATAAAAATGATATGTCACGTCCACCATAGCGTTATTCTACGCCTCTCAAGTTCTCTAAAAATCTGAAGATATGACACGTTATGCAATATTTCACAAAATTATTAATATAAAATAATACAATTTTCAAAAAACTGAAAGTCATTTTTTTTTTAAATTGCAGCGTATATTACTCATCGAGAGGTAGAAAAGTCTGAAAGGACGATGTTAAGAACGACATAAATGTTATATGTCACGACCATTACACACAAAATCCTGGTACGTCCAGCCGGCTAGTGACTCTACATGCAAAAAGAAGTCGAAAAAGAGAATAACATTGTTTCATTTAAGACTTCGTTTTCGAAAAAGCTGAGTTGGGTCAAGTTCGCGTGGTTTGTAGTTGTAATTCTCGTAGCAGTAGTTCTCGCGTTGGCGAGAAGTAGAATTGATATGTCACGGCCAGACGCGCCACTTGACTCTCCTATTCAATAGTATTATCTTCTAAACCTAATTGTTCTCGGAAACGGAGTCTTAAATGAAAAAATCTTATTTTTTTCTCCTCGACGTACTCGTTTCATGTAGAAACAATTCCCGGCCTATTGTACCACGATTTTGGAGACACCCTATATAATTTTTCTGTAAAGGATTGACTCGAGACCAATGGCTCCGTTTAGACTTTTGTTTTTCGCGATGAGTACTATACGTTGTAATAAAAATGAATTGATCCTTTGGTTTTGATTTTCAAGATCAAGGACAATTTTGCAGTCGTTTTTTAGCAGATCTCCGCCCATCCAGACGTGTAGTATCACGCTATGGTGTTCGCGATACATCGTTTATACACCCTGTACACAAAGAAATAATAGAACTAAAAGAACTGAAGCGGTTCTTTTACGCATCTCGAACAAGCTATTAAAATTGCATACGACGTAGTCACCGGAGAGATCCCTGCTAAACGATGTTGCTCGAAATAGGACGATTCACTTTGTAAGCTATAATGTACGTTAAAACTGATTTGCATTTCCGACGCCGATTATAAGGATAGAATAGCCAATACAATGAGACAGAGCATTAAACTGGTTAATGCTATCCGATACGTAACACTATTCGCACGCAGCTCGATGGTCTGCGCGAATTAGTACGGGGCACTCAGACGGAAATACAGAGATTGATGCTGGAAGCTGTGATCACGATCGAGGTTCACGCGAGGGACGTCACGTACAAGCTGATCGAAGAAGGAGTATCGAATGTCAACGATTTTGATTGGATCTCGCAGCTGCGGTACTACTGGGTCGATGATGCTGATCTGAAGGTGCGCGCGGTCAACGCTGAATTCCCCTACGGGTAAATTGTCCGAATAAATATCTCAACCTGTGCTGAACACTTCTATTAATCCTTCCTTTGACGCGCCGCACCGCCGGCGAAGTTAACACTTTCACAACTGCTGACACCACTGTGGTGTCATGGGCAGGCCAGTCGTTGTATGCCGGTGACACTCATGTGGTGTCATTGGTAGACCAGTCGTTATTTGCCGGTGACTCCCACGTGGTACCATTGACAGGCCAGTCGCTATTTGCCGGCGACTCCCACGTGGTACCAGTGGCAAGCCACTTGCAAAACTTTTCTTAATTATTGATTTATAATAATAATGTTAATTGTTTCATGAATTTACGTAAAGTTTTTTCTTCCAAAATATTGCCGGCCACTGGCGACGTTTCACTGCGCTAACATGCGGTTGTGAAAGTGTTAACATTAGATCCGACCCACACGAAGATACCTGCATCGTGATACGCGTATGCGATACAACGTTCAACGCGAGAGAAAGTATCGCAGTACTGTGTTGCACATCTTGATACAGTAATTTCTCCCGGAAATGTCAAATTTCGAATTGCTGCGAATTTCCCTGTGGCTAGTCCTACGCCTATGTAATTTATTGCTACGTCGATGCTAAGGGTCGACTGAGTTCCCGGAAGACAACATAAAATTGTCTGTTTAGGCGTGAGTCAGGACCTACATGGTTGTTATCCAGCCTTTTGGCTCGTTTTTATAGTTGTTGACAATTCGTAACTGTAAAAACGAACCGCAAGGTTCGAATAATCGTATCTCCTCTTCCCAAATTGTCCATTTTTGCTCTCAAGCTGAGCATCAATTAGGGAGAATTTACTGTACTAGGTACGTGACCGTCGAATCGTAGCACGTGGCCTCCGAATTGCCTTCGAATCGTGGAAAGAAATTAGAAATAAAAAGGTTGAGTCATCGTTTTTATTCTAGCATTGCCATGTATTCATATTAATGTACACCGGAATGCTGGCCGCTGCCTTTTTTTGTCGACTGCCCCGAGTTTCTATAAAAAAGAGCCGCGAGGCCCGTAAAATTGCGATTTAGTATTCTCAGATCTGCCGGTTTAAATTCTGACATTTATCTTCTCCGAACATTTCTGGGAGAAATTACTACAGTAAGCATCTTCGTGTGGAACGGGTCTTACGTCTACACGTAAATGAAAAGCTAAATAAAAAAGTTGTGCCAGAATTGAAGAACTTGTGATAGGAGCGAGATAAAGCGACACAGTTTTTTTTTACATTAGAGCTGAAATGTTGTAGAATAACGGAAAAGTTGATAGAATGTAGTATGAACATTTTTTAACGTTGCAAATTGATGTGAGACTATATGAAGTATTTCAACAAAATTGTGCTTTATCCAATGCCATATATATTATATTTGAATCTTTTCGTGACAAGTTATAGATTGTAACAAACAGCTTTCAAATCGGACCGCAAAATTTATCTATCACTTCAGAATTTTGGAAAAACTCGATTCAAGTGAAAACGCTAATTCGTGATTTTTTCGTTGAAATGATTTGATAATAATTTCGGGATCGTATTTGATACCAGCGTGTCAAAATCTACAAGGAATGGTGTATAATATGTCGTTAAAAGAAGGTCCAGCTGTACATGGAATATTGGATAAATCACAATTTTGTTGAAATATTTCAAATTGAATATACATAGATTTCCAAGATTGAAAAATGTTCGCACTGCATTCTCTCTATTTTTCCTTTATTTTACAACATTTCAGCTTTGACGTAAAAAAACAACTGCAAATCTCATTTTCGACATACCTTTTTCATTTAGCTCTTCTGCGTGACGAGGTCGAAAACAATTCGTGTATCATTCGGACGAGCGGTCCGCTGCGAATTAAAGTCCGTAATCGAATTTGTTACGATTTATCGGGAAATTTATTGGGATTTCGTCGAAGGTACGAGTACTTGGGGAACACCGGCAGGCTGGTGATCACTCCGCTGACTGACCGATGCTACCTGACCTTGACAGGGGCCTTACATCTGAAATTCGGCGGAGCTCCCGCAGGTCCGGCCGGTACTGGTAAAACAGAAACAACCAAGGACCTCGCGAAAGCATTCGCGATCCAATGTGTGGTCTTCAACTGCTCCGATCAGTTAGACTTCATGTCCATGGGCAAGTTCTTCAAAGGCCTCGCCAGGTAATTTCCGTCGTAATTAATTCTATGTCAATCAAAGTCATTGGTTAGCCATTGGCTTCGAATTCGCTTTTGTTTAAACGAATGATGCTCTCGAACAAGACTGCGCGCGTCAATATGCTCTCCGTCTGTTGTACTTTTGTTGTCGAATATCTCGAGATACCCTCGCTTACCGTGATTAGATTGTTAACAGTGATACTGTTTGCCGAATTCAGCTCCGGTGCTTGGGCGTGTTTCGACGAGTTCAACAGGATCGACATCGAGGTGCTTTCAGTGATTGCGCAACAGATCATGACTATTCAACAGGCGCAACAGATGCGTGTCGATACGTAAGTGTATTGGAGAATTGGAAATCCTTTAGGTTGCTGTCGCAATAGTATTTTCTGTTATCCGCGAATTGGAATGTCTTGCGCTTATATGGTTGGTGCGTGTGAAATGTCGGATTTTTAAGTAAATATATAAAACTGCATATCTTTTCTCAAGAGCTGTTTATTTAATCAAAATGTGCTCCATTTTCTTCAATACAATGTTCCCAACGAGATTTTAATGCATTGATGCCTGTCTTAACACGTTGAATGCCACGCCGGTTTTACAGAAATTGTCCGTGGCGCTACGATGAATTTTCTTTTATGTGGTACATATAATGTTGAAATATTATTTGCAATAGATAAGTTACAGTGTACAATCATGTTTGACATGTTAATTGCGACAGGGGTCACTGTTTGAATCGACGATGGTAATAATACAAAATTTTAGATATTGACATTTGTTTTAAATTATATATATATATATTTCTATCAATTTGGGCGCGCCGGTCACCGGTGGCCCTCATGGCTTCACCGCCAAGTTAAGTTATTCTAATCTTTAGAATCAATAAACTCTGATATGGAATTTTTCAGACTGTCTTCATTTTCATACTGTTTAGCCCGTAAAAACTGTTCTAAATGTTAAAAAAAATGAAAGTCGGTTGGCGAAAGATCCGGCGAATAAGCTGGGTGCTGCAAAATTTCATATTTCAATTCATTTCATTTCGCAATTGTTTTGTACGACCTATGCAGCCGAGCGTTGTCGTGGAGAAGTATTGAGCCATTGGGTATTTTTCATGCATTTCATCAGTGTACTGGCAGTACTTTCCGGCTGTAATTGTCTCCCCAGCTCGAACGAACGAGTAGTGAATTACTCCAGTCACATTCCACCAAACTGTTATTAAAATTTTCCGAGGATTCACAGACGTTTCGAGCCTTCCACGCGGTTCATTTTGTAAGGAAAAATCGCCAGATCGAAAATTTTCAAACCAACGCTGCACTTTTCGATCGTTATATCTCCCCAAACGCCTTGTTTATATCGCGTGCAGCTTCTGCAGCGTTATTACTAAGTTTATACTCATACAAAAAAATGACACACGAATGTAGGTTGAATTCATATTCTTAACACTTTATCGTCCGGTCGTGGTTGAGGCTGCCACTCAGTAAGGACTGGCTTAGTCGCGCGCGCATTTGCTCCCAGTACCGGCTAAATTTTCGCTATTCATTGTGTTGTGCTTATTCCTTTAAAAATAATAATAAATAATAATAATTATTATAATTATAATTCATAAGGATATGGGGAGGTCAGCATACAGGAGGTCAGCTAGTAACAAAACAATAAAGAAGCGAAAACCGTCGATAGCTAAAAGTCGATTAATAGGCTATCGGTCGATAAGCATTGGCAATCGAAAAGCCGATTAATAGGCTAGCGATCGATAAACATTGGCAATCGAAAAGCCGATAAATAGGCTAGCGGTCGATAAAGTGTTAAGAAATTCAAAACAAATAACAAAATGGAACACTTTTGAGAAAATCTTCTTTGTTGAAATGTGTCTCTGACAATGGACAGTGCGACTATAAACGAGTTTACGCCAAAAACAAAAGCATAACGAAAACAGGGACACGACGTTCGCGTGTAAAGGAAATCCGATATTTCATATGCACCAACCTAATATTTCGCGTCGAACATGTTACATATCGCACATCTACTACTAATTATTAACAGGTTTATGTTCGAAGGGGAAGAGATTACGCTAAAGACATCTTGCGCAGTGTTCATCACCATGAATCCCGGCTATGCGGGTCGCACTGAGCTGCCAGATAACTTAAAGGCCCTGTTCCGCCCTGTAGCTATGATGGTGCCAGATTACGCGCTGATTGCAGAAATTTCGTTGTTCTCGTACGGTTTCTCCGAAGCGAAAACACTGGCTGCCAAAATAACCACTACGTTCAAGCTCAGCTCCGAACAACTAAGCTCGCAGGCAAGTTCCGTCGGCACACGACGCGCGATCGCGTTCTTAATTTCACGAGACCTTCATCAGGAGCTTGCTGATTTATTAAACCATGCAGTTAGACGGCATTAATATTCAGAATACAATAATATAGAATCTCGAAATTAATCCATAGCGAGTTTTATATCCGGAGAGAATGCTTTTACCAAATAGGCAAAATTCAATACAAGAGGCGATCGGACTTTAATATACGCAGTGTCCGTTCCATATCTGATCAGATCGATGATCGTTTCGATCAAAGGACCACTTTTAAAATTGATCCGATGCTAGGCATAGATACAGTGACCCACAAAAGTGTTTGTATACCTATTAAAACGCAATAACTATTTTAAAACTGAACTAAATGACTCGAATTTTTTTTTTTAGAATTGCTTTTTTTTTTAAATTTTGCTATTACTTGGAATGACAAAAAATAAAGAACTCTCGTTTTTTAATCTAAAAAGATTAAAAAACGAGAGTTCTTTATTTTTTGTCATTCCAACGAAAATTTAAAAAATGTCTTTCGTAGATCTCGGTAACTTATATGTATGTTGAAAATTTTATCGAAATCGGTTCACGTTGTTACGAGTTACAACAAAATAAAGATCGGAAAAACCACTATTTTGTTACGATTTTCACCAAAAATTATAAGAAATTTGCAGCTTTTAAAATCCTTCAACACCTGTAGCACGACTCTGGGTTAACCGATTTCGATCAAATTCTCAGCACATATATAAGCTACCGAGATCTACAGAAGGTATTTTTTAAATTTTCGTTATAGGCTCAGATATATATAAAAAGTTAAAAAAGCGAGGGCTTTCAATTGTTTCTTTTTATTCCAAGTAATAGCAAAATTAAAAGAACAAATATTCATGTCATTTAGTTCAGTTTTGTAAAAGATGTACGAACAGTTTTGTGTTTAAAAGATGTACGAACACAATACACGAACACTGTGTATATTGACCAACTGCACAGAGAAATAAGATTCTGTGACACAAACTGTGCATCAAGGCAGGATAATCGCCGATTTTTAACGGCATCTCTCTTGTCGCGCTACCGTACGGCCCAGTACGTTCGTCGAACAAAAACGGTCAAATATTATAGCTGGCGGGTATACGAGCGTGTTTACAATATAACTTTGGATTCCGTTCAACTGCGATTATTTAAAGTATCTGTTTTGTGACAGGAATCTCCAATGAATCTCGTAAAAGCCCCTCGATGGCCGATTTACAGCAAATCCGCATTACCGCGCGCATAAACAGTCTCCGTGGAGGTACGCACTCGTCACCGTTGCATGTTTTATTTTCGTCCAGGATCATTACGATTTCGGCATGCGAGCGGTGAAGACGGTGATCGCCGTTGCGGGAAATTTAAAACGGGAGCAGCAGGACTTGAACGAGCAGCAGATCTGTTTGCGGGCTCTGCGAGACGTGAACGTTCCCAAGTTTCTCAAAGATGACCTGACGTTGTTCAACGGTAAACGGAATTTGCGTATTCCGTCTAACTGGTATCTATTATGCATGGTTTTCCGAGGATCATCGCGATACGAGATCTCTCCGTTCTCGCCGAGAACGAGCGTTTAACATCTTTGAGAAGTACAGTAATTTCGCCCTAATTCGCACTCAGATTGTGCACAAAATAATTTGGGAATAGGAGACACGATTATTCGAGCCATGCGTCTCGTTTTTGTAGTTGTTGAAAATCGGTGACTATGAAAACGAGCCGCAAGGTTCGAATAATCGTATCTCCTCTTCCCAAATTATCTCTTTTTTGTGCACAATCTGAGCGCGAATTAGGGAGAAGTTACTGTATTTCTATTGCGACATATTTATATAAATATTAGATTTATACTTTATATAAAAATACGATTCGCAGTGAATCGGACAGCATTTTTAATGCGATTAACCCATGGTGTACCAAAATCCAATCTGAATACCTGCTAGAGATATTTCAGGAAATATTCGTTGCATCCGTTTCGAAAATTTCGAAGTTTTTATATCAGATGATTCTTGTAGCTCTCTCGCGGGGTGCCAGAAAATAGGTCATATGTACTGACACTGTTCCTTTGATGTCAGGTATCGTGTCAGATCTGTTTCCACGTTTAGAAGAGAAGCAAGTGGATTACGGTGTTCTGGAATCGGAAATACGGGCGTCGATTGTAAGGATGGGACTCGAGGAAATCGACGGTAAGAAATTTCATTTCTTCTTAACAATTTTCATCATCCCGCTATTCAGTAGAAACTCCACTTGTCTCTATGGAAATTTGAATGCTTTGGCTTTAGCAACGTCTTTAGGTGAAAATACTTAATTTTGTAATCTTTTTGCAATCTAGATTTAATAGAACATACGTTATGTATCAACTTATTCGTATTAATATTTCTAATTTCATTACATATGCACTGCACGAAAAAGTTACAGCATTGAGAAATTTTGGATAAAAACTGGCCAACTTTCGTCGACTTAATTCCGCGAAAAATCAACGTAGGATGATAACACTTTTCTTTTTTTAATTAAAGCTTGAAACTTCTAATCTAAAATAGTGTTTCTAAACTTTAAGTTTGATGGAACTTCATTACCGTAATTCTTTAAATGTGAGGCCATGTTTGTCATATTGAAAATTGCCAAGTTTGACGAAATGCGCGGAATTTGTAAAAATTTTTTCAGAGATGTCGTTTGTAGCCGAATGTAGCTCGATCCTTCCCCTTTAATTTAGAAGAGAAGAGAAATTTGGCTGTGATATTTTCTCGAAATGTTACGGCGATTTAAAGTAATTACTGCATTTAATCAGCGGGCCTCTGTTGTACGAACCTACTCGGTTGTACGAATCGGTTTTCTCCCGCCAAAATCATATAAATGCAGTTCTATTGTATACACGATCAAATTTTCACATCCATCTCGGGCAAAAACATATCCCCGTATTTTGCAAATTATGCAGAATGATTCTACGCGAGAACTTGCTTCTGCGGTAAAGCGGTCGAAATTCTTCAACAAACTCATTTTCTAGCATTATTTCACCTTAGAGAACAATTGCGTTTCGTCTTTCATCGTTTCTTTTATCACTTAAGCTACGGATTCTATTCGAATAAGCATCGTTCGTTCGCCGATTCTACCTGAGATGCGTCAACGGAACATACAAACGTCGAAGTTGAATCCACGATTCGTGCCGAGCATAATTTTACCGCTTTAAATATTAACGAAATGACATTTTTCTCTTCCTCGTACATTCTTTTTCTATTCAATGCATTTCAATGCAATACATTTCCCGTTTTCCAGCTGTGTTATTCAGCCTGTAGCACGTAGTTTGCGAATCGCTCCAAGTGAATAACGAGCGATCGTTGTTACGTATTCGGTTCGTGTTTCTGCACGGCAAGCTGAAACGAAACATGTTACCTGGTAATTAGACTGCACGTTTGTTCCGCGTAATATTGCCGCTGATCTACGAACGCCGTGATCTGTATTGTGCGTAAATCGAATCGAGCCGTTGCAATTTCCTTGGAAAAGATCATCAGTTACGAAGTATTAACGGTAGAAAAACCAATGGAGACTGGAAATGTGATCAAACGCGTGTAAACGTGAGTAAACGTTCGTCGTTACGCTCAGAATAAAAGACCTCATTAACGATGAAATTGGACACGGTCGACAGAATTGTTCAACCCAAAGAACATTGGTGAAGCTTCGACGACCAAATCGATAGAAATCCCTGAAGCGAGTAGTTCGACATTTTCTTTAGAATGAACTTTTTGCCCTAGAACCACGTCTGAGAGACGTGGTCAGATAATCGGGCTAGAAATGATTATCACGTCTGAGAGACGTGGTAAAAAGGTCGGGCCAGAAGTGAGAGCCGTGATGCGTCCAGCCGGTCCAAATATAAACATAACTAGTTAGGCTCGTGTTAGTCTAGGTGATAAGTGTTTTGTGGTTTTAATTGTTTTTCGTCATTTAATTGTTTTATTAGTAGCTAAAGGAGGTGGCGCAGAAGCCAGCTCGGCGCGTGCTGCGATTTTTGCGATATTTAATTGTTTGCAGCTCATGCAAAGGTCTATCGATTTCGGTGAAATTTTTAACATGCATATATAACTTATCGAGATGCATAGAAGAAATTTTTTAAATTTTCGTTATAGGCTTAGATAAAAAAGTTAAAAGATAAGAGTCTTTTATTTTCTTTTATCATCCTAAGCAATAGCAACCTTTTAAAAAAGCATTCTAGATACGGTCCAGTAGACCGGTCGCTCTATTATCTAAAAAAAAAATTCAAGTCGTTTAGCCGAGTTCTGAAAAAGTTATTGCGTTTTGAAAAATGTCCGAATATCAACGGGTATCGCTGTATTTACATTCCGTAAGAAGTTCGCGATTGGCACAACTTTAGACGTTTCGTTGTTGTTTGTGGCACACGTTCTTGAAACTTAAATCATAGGGCAAAGGGTTAATTGACCATGAAAAAATTAAAATGCCCGTAAATGGAATGAATTTGTGGGACATCGCGAGACCAGCTCCTTAAGCCATTCCGATGTCAATATCGAAACGATCATTTCTTCCTTATCCTCGTTTGCAGAACTTCTCCGATGTAAACGTTCTATCATTGAAGATAACAAGAACCGTACAAAGAGCTTTTTCCGAGTGGAACTTTCTTTGTCAATTACGGCGTTCGTGTTTTCCGGGGTAAGCTGCCGCGCTTTCATCTTGTTCGCGAAACTTTTCCCATCGGTTCTCCCCATTGCTCTCGTTAGTCTTTTACGATCGACACAAAAGAAGCCGACAATCAAAGATTGTATTCGTAGTTTGTTGGACCTAATTATCGCCAAGTTTCCGTCGTGATTACTTCTGTTCGTAATTGAAAGTCGAATCACGTCCCTCAAGAGAACCTTTAGAGAGCAATAATTAGTGAATTTCTACCAGCATCCTCTATAGAAAATCTTACGCGACCGGTATTTCCAATTTCACATTACAAACGAATCACAGAGAGTGTTTCTGTGAGTGTACGTTAACCAATATCAGCTTCGCAGAGCGGTAAATGGGGGAGACAAACCACAGACCATCGCAGATTTTTCTGTTTGGCCCCATAACTTGTCCCTTGGTTGTAGTACGGGGTGATACTTTTTTCCTGATACTCGATCTAGCGAAATGTAAATGTCTCTGTGAAGCTAGAGAGATCGATCGAAGTTGATAGTTCGAGGGAAAATGAATCGTCGCCGTTAAATATCCGTCCTCCGGTTTTCAGAGTTCGTGAAGAAAGTTATCCAGCTGTACGAAACAACGGTCGTGCGACACGGATTAATGCTGGTGGGTCCAACAGGGTCGGCGAAGACCAAGGTAAGTGCCATTCCAAATCCGGACGAACCACTCGAATTAAGTCAGCCCCTGAGAATCCTCGGCACCGGATCGCGTACCACCAGTGACTCTCAAATTTTTTTGTTCATTCTTCGCGTTCATGATTTTCGAGAGTTGATCGAATTCTTTTGCAAAGTCGGCCATCTCGACGTACCATACTTCCGAGCACTCGAGTAAAGTACGATGCACGCGAAAGAATGTGGATCATTTATCTCGAATCTTCAAGATCAAGCGCAACTGTGCGCATGGTCTTCGGGCCGAAACTAGCGATAAAAAATATCCCAAGATTTGGAGTGTTCTCGGAAAAAATGACGCGAATAACCTAATAGCTTTGATCCGCTAATGCAAATCAGGCAGTGTCGGCGACGTAGGTTGAGAACCGTCGACATAGTAAAAAAATCCGAGACAGAGTTAATTTTTCAACGAGGTGTCGAGCACACGTGTTCCGCAATAATGTTCATTTCCACGGATTTACACTGGGCCGTAGGGACAGCTGTTGTGCTTTCAACGGACATTCGCATCCTTTGAAAACAAAGCCTGATTTCTCGGGCGTGATAACGTGGCACAGAGAAATGTTTGCATTTAATAAAAATAAAGGAAAAAACGCGTGCCCTGGCGAAAGAATTATTCAATGTTACAATTCTTCGACGGCAATGTGTTATATAATTCAATTTAGCAAGTTTTCACAACGTGGGTTTTGAGGTACTTTTGCTGAACACGTTGGTCCGTTTTTAGGATCCGATGAAATCTGCGAAGATTTTCATTAATTCTCGGAAGCTAGGTATTCGAATAACGACGTTTATTCTGTGTATAGATACGAGTGAACGACATTGATTCTCAGAAGGTAACCGCTGCTCGAATATTCACGGGACTTAGTGTGTGCACCGACAAAGTTTAATAGCTCAAACAGCGTTAATCGCTCAGTACCGATGTCATGGGCCAAACGACGTTGCCGCGTCAAGCGCGACTCATGGGAATCTGAATAATCAGCTTGGAAAACCAATTGCGAGACGATCATACAACTTAGCCAATTTGCACACCGTAAAGGCGACGATTCAAGGCTACGAAAATCACTGCAACAGGGGCAGACAAATTCTCGCATAACAAATAGAAATCAAGAAATACATCCTGCAAATAGAAATAATTTCCTCGCGATGTGAAAGTTTCAATATCATTAGCAGAAAGCTTGAATGGAATCCACGTTTACAAATGTTTTGTAACTATAATATTTCGTTTAGAAAAGTCCTCGGAAATCATTTACGCTGGAAATGTCGCTCGACGGCTTTGTTGTCAAAGTTAGATTAAATTTGGAGCGGCCTCGCAGGCTGTCTAAACTACTTAAAGGTTAAAAGGACCATTCTCTTATATCGATGAAACGTTCAGCCAGCAAAGTCTCCTATGACCCGTTGTCATCTCATCAAAAGCGGCAGTTTGCCGGCAACTTTCGTGTAATCCGAAAGAATAATAGAATCATCCCTCTCCGACCGGTCGTGAAGTACAAAATTGGTCAAACTAATTCCCTGAACAGTTTTACCGCAATTAGAGACCCCGTGTCTGACAGAAAAAGTTCCTTAAAGTTGGGTCGAACCGTGTTCCAGCATTCCACGCATCGGGCTACATCAAAGTTGGACTCCAACGGTTTCAGGATGTAATTATATTTTAGAATATAAATATTTGTACGATTAACCGCGTGCTGATTTTAGGCTGCAGAAAATCAAAAGTTCCAGAAGAAATACTCTATTTTATTTTTAAGGTTTGTCAGGATTTCGAAGATAACTCCTCCATTTCGGGCAAAATATTTTAAAATCGCGCGCGGCTATTCCACATTATGTTCTCTTAGAAACCGCAACGTTTAATTAATGAAATTTCATTTTAACTAGGTATTCCTATTTGTATATTGTACCATGACTCGAGACGAAGTAGTGTTTCACGATGAAATTGGTGCCTGTTAGTAATTAATTAATTAGGGACGGTGTGTTATTTCGCGTACGATTGTTCGCGCTTCGTTGAATAATATCTTCATAATTAATGCGCGTTTCTCTGAAATCCTTGAAAATCTGTTGATCATGCGTTAGGCGATCGCTTAATTAATTACTATAAATTAATTTGCCGGTGAACAGAATTCGTGGAATGGGTTCGTTCGTTCAAAATTATTTTATACGATTGCTAACTTACCACAGTTCTCCAGATCGATGATAAACCGGAATGGCAGCTATCAAATTGTGCAGTGACACAAGTATAAGCTGCATTATTCATTAGCGGCTGGGTAAAACGTTGAACTGCGCAAATCTAAAAGGTAAAAATAACGACGCGGTACCAAAGTATGTACTCAACTCGTGCAATTCCTAGAAAAATGTAGAACATAAACATGGATGAAAGACATTAGATCATAGTCAAAATGACTGGTTCCTGATTCTTTTATTTTACAGTTACTGAAATTAAGGAAACGTTTCTATGGGGAATTCTTCTATGAGCAAACTTCAATTTCCAATTGCACATGGTATAGTGTTTCGGTCTTCTGAAAGAGACAGGTAATAGTGATTGTGTAAGGAGTAGAGAAGAAATGAATTGTTTGAGAAGGTTTAATAAACAGTTGACAACAATAACGTCAGCGAGTCTTGACAATATCTACACGTATATATACATATATATATGTATTTATATATCGTATTATACGTGTGTAAGTATACAGGGTTTTTTCTCTCAAGATCATTTGTTTTCAAGTGTTGAAAGTCGTCGCTTTTATTTGCACATTTAACCCTATTTTTTATAACGCAGCACCTTGGTGCACCTCAAAACGAATTCAATGACTTTTGACACTATGACCTTTAAATGACCATTAAAAAATAGGGGTCAATGTGCAAAAAATAGCGAAGACCTTCGGTGCTTGAAAACAAATGATCTCGAGAGGAAAGAGAACATGAATCATAATATTTTTAGCTTTGAACTAAATAAAATTATCCTCACACATTTTTTTTTTTATATCAGCAAAAATAACGAAGATATTTCAATGTGCAGGATAAAATAAACACCCTATATATATATGTATATTACACTCGTCTCTACACATCGATTCGGGTAGTAGTACCCGTATTGTATACAGTGAATAAATTACACACACACACACACACGCATACACGCGCGCGCACACACACACACACATTTTCCAGTTTTTACAGTTAGGCGAACAACAAATTGTAATCGTTTCTGAAAGACTTTTCATTTCGATGCGATTCCTTGTTCGTGCTGCACGAGCCGTGCATCGATCAAAGCTCACGTTGATGTTTACATTTACGTTTATCTATTTCTTTGTGCTGTCTGTTGCAATTGTTCAGTTAGATCAAATGCAAGTGATAGGTTGCGAGATTTTCTGTAAAATGTAAGTACCGAACGAAAAAGTTTATATTTTTAAAATGTGAATAAAGAAAAAATAATGCGATTGAAACTATTCGATTATTTACATCTTTCTTCTAATTGAAATTTCACCTAGTCAGTCGCAAACGCATACAATCCGCAGTCTAATTATCAGACAATGCATCTCAGACTCGCATGACTCGAATCGTTTCAAAATCATTCCCAGCACGAACTGAACATTTTCTCAAAATTTCTTTTACACATTTCTTTTTCACCTAGTAAACCAATCTAATTTTCAGGAAGCTATTCTCGACTAAAGAGCGACTCACTGTATAAACGTAATTTTCCACTGCCGTAACTAGTAGTAACAGATAGCGGTGTGTGCCGAGGCTGTCGAGCTGTCGCGGTTGACAGGCTGGAGGGATTTTTTCTATCAAAAAGATCAACAACCACTTTTACGTTGGGTGGTCGCGTAATTTTATCTTTGATCAATTATTTATTGTCTCTCCTGTCAGATAACCGCATGCGAACTGCTGATAAGCTGCTCGGGCTTGTTACGTCGCTCCATAATCTGTTTAAGGAAACTAGCATTAAATTTATATTTACTGTCGGATAGTTCACGAAAATTTCGACTGGATTAGAGGATTTCAACGACTAATTAAAATCAGCGGAACAGCCAACAAAAGATAACAAATTCATCGGAGAATTACGAACGATAGGAACATATTTTCAAATGAATGTTGTTTCTTTTAACAAGAAGCATTGTTCGGTGCAAAATCTATCATGTAAAAAAGTACATAGCGTTACCCGCATTGAATCGAGTGGAATGTTGTTTTATAGAAATCAACGAAACCAGCGACTGATTTCCTTTGATTTCATAATTTAATCTCGTCGAATCGTGGAGATATCATACTGCGCGCCGCAGTAATATAAATTCCAAAATAAACATCAACGGTTATATATAGCTCGTTATCGATTTTCTCTTGTTATTCCAGTGCCGATTACGTAGTGAATAAGGCTCGTTTGTCAACATTGGGCTGAATATCAAGGATTCTTTGATCACGAGTGAATTGTTTTTGTTGCGAGACGTTGCTTTAACTTGTATGCATTTCAAATTACTAAAATTTCCAGTCAATTATTCCACCTTGAAATGTTTGTCTAGAACGGCGGGAACGCCGAACACGAACAAATTTTCAACAACATCCTTGCACAAACAGTGTTTTAAAAAAATCCTCGATTCGACGATCTTTTGTCGACTTTTTGTTACATTAATCGTACCTTTCTATTAATTCAATTAACAGATTGAATGGTACAGTGTCCTAAGTAGCCGCGGTCTCGTTGATCTCCATTCCTACCGAACCAGAAGACTGTTTCACGAGGCCATTCGCGACCATGCCTAATTTAGAACCTACATCAAGCTCTGAAAGCAACAATGATATCCAATCAATTGTTCACTTTTCATTAAAATAGTCAGACTCGTGCGTTATCGAGCTATGGACAAGTCTAGACTTGACATGGTCATCGAGAGCTCTCGATTGGCCCTTGGGTCAATCCTAATTGGATCTTTCGAATATTAATATCAACAGCAATACATACTATACATATTACTTTCATCGCGTGGAGTGTTCGTAATGGGTGTAGTCTCGTTGCTTCGAGTTTTCAGAGAGCTAGGAAGCGCTCCACGGGGCAATCCTTGCTCATCTTGAATTATGCTTCACCTATACTCTTCGCACCTTTAAAATATCTAGCTCTGAAAACCACGCTGGCATACTCTTCGAGCTTCGAACTGCCCCTGGGAGCAGTGCCTCCTCCCAAACTCAGATCTTATAAATTCACCGTCAGTGAGGATACGTTTTGTCCTGTTTTCACCGCACAAAGCGTTCTGAGTGGGCGTGGTTTCATCGCTCCCGATCTCCACGGAGCCACGGCGGTGCTCTACGGGGCAATTTATGGCCTTGCCCGTTCTAGTCTTGTCTCCGGAACAGACGCGTCATCGCGGAAACTCACCGTTGATAGGCGAGAGGACTGGGGAGAGCGTGGCGCGCGTCACGAGCGTTTCCGAGGCGGTAAGGAAGCCACGCCTCCAGCATCAAAGGAAGCTCGACGAGTCGACGAGATCAGCGCCCCGACGGTTGCGTCGCCGGGACGTAGGCCCTATCTATCGCTGGGGATTGCAGTGGTACGTGGTTAGGTTCTTCAGCACCTTGCGCATCAGCTGCTGCAGACATCGGCGGAACGTGACGCCGCACATTGCGTACAGCAGGAAGTTGATGCTGAAGTTCGTGTAGTAAAGCAGCATGAAAAACTGCTGCAGGCACCAGAGCAAATCGGGCTTGTTCTTGTGCGCAAGCGTGAAGAAGAACACGCACAGGCGAATCACGTAGCTGGAAAACACAGGGACGCAGCCTCGCTGAAATTCGATTTTGATTGGCGGGGCCAGGGAACCCGTGAATTCGGAAAATTGCAACAGGAAACTTCTCGAGAAATTTATATTTTCAGAAGATATTAAATTTCCAGCTTGATCTATATATATATATATCTGTCTAATATATATNCTATCTATCGCTGGGGATTGCAGTGGTACGTGGTTAGGTTCTTCAGCACCTTGCGCATCAGCTGCTGCAGACATCGGCGGAACGTGACGCCGCACATTGCGTACAGCAGGAAGTTGATGCTGAAGTTCGTGTAGTAAAGCAGCATGAAAAACTGCTGCAGGCACCAGAGCAAATCGGGCTTGTTCTTGTGCGCAAGCGTGAAGAAGAACACGCACAGGCGAATCACGTAGCTGGAAAACACAGGGACGCAGCCTCGCTGAAATTCGATTTTGATTGGCGGGGCCAGGGAACCCGTGAATTCGGAAAATTGCAACAGGAAACTTCTCGAGAAATTTATATTTTCAGAAGATATTAAATTTCCAGCTTGATCTATATATATATATATCTGTCTAATATATATCTATATATATATATATCTGTCTAATATATATCTATATATATATATATATATATCTGTCTAATATATATATATATATATATATATATTTATACGCGCGATTTGCCTATTGATTGTCGAAAAGTGGAGTTAACGTTAGACACTATCTCAGATTTGAGTATCAGTATCAGTAATTTTTCTGCCAAACAGGTGTTTTAATCTTTCAGTGCGATAAATTATTCTAATTATTCAGTGCGACAAATCTCAGAAACTGTATATGCGCGCGAACATTTTTCGTAAAAAGAATCCAAGCTTTTGCAGCGAAAACGCCGGCTCTCTAAAAGTTGCAAGGGAAGTCGCACGTTGAATATAAACCATTTTTTTCCGCTTCGACCGTCAAAGCTTGTGCATTAGTCGTCTGCAAAAAATTAGTTCGCGCTTTTCACATTGAAGTCCATATATTCCGTATGAAGCCTCAACAGAAGTAAAAAAATGCGATTACAAAACGTAGGCTAGACTTCTACTTCCGCAAATAGAGATCACAATGACAGTTCTTATTTCGAGAAATAATAAAGTGATCCGCGTCGTTATAAAATAAATTCGTTCAGTACCCAAAATCTGAGAAGTCGCCTGACGAATGCTCGATCGATACTACTCGCGAGGCTATGCAAGACTTGGTTGACGGAATTATTTTCGTATTTTAAATTGAACAAACAATTGATGTCGTACAGTTTAACTTTAATTTGATTAAATAACATACTCTAATTTGATTTGAGGTTGTTGGGTTGTCAGACAAAATCTTAAAGCGAATGCTCATAGTCTGGAGCGCTAAATACTGGGAATATTAATCTTCTGGTGTATACCTCTCTATTTAATTAAATCTACAACTTCTCTTAGAATGCATTGTCCTATTTACCGAATATTCCCTCGTCGTCTTCAATATCGTGGGAAAACATTGGCTGCAAAACCTGTATTTGTTTGTTCAATCTGTCGCGTCTCTTGGTGTTAGCTTATCGGAAACTTATCGGAAGTGCGTTAAAAATCATCGACAAAAAATATCTGAATAAATATATTCTCGCTGTTGCGATAAAGCAACGTAATATAACGACTGCTCGGTTCCGTGCAACGTGTTGGTAAGAGCTCTCACCTTGGTAAATTGAGGAGAATGAAGACGGTACTAATCAGCAGTAACGTCTTCGTGTTTCCTTGCTGAGTCTTCGTCGAGACGAGGTTCCGCGACGATGATTTAGCATCTGGAAAAAGAAAAATTAAACCATTGAAGAAGAAAGATGTTATTATCCTTGAAAAAGGGTCAACGGATACGACTCGTCTGAAATCGATTTTTCAGCGAAGGAGGATAATCTATCGAGAAAGAAGTTCTGCAGTTGGTCTCGATTACTTCGGATACCGATGCGAATATAACTGTAATCGCTTGAACGGGTAACGGGATTTGATTTCCACTTGTTATAATTTCATTAAACACGATATTATGCGTTAGAGCGGACGAGATGAATAGAATGCTCGACAACAATAGCTCCTACGCATTCGTGGCGTCGGTTGTAACTTATGCATTCATAATGTTTAGAAATATCCTGCATGCATCCACGTATAATATATGCTAATTAGATGACCACCATGAAATATGGCACCATTTCGATAATACGACACGCTCAGAACTTTGCCGGCTTATCAAATATACCAGATTATTGACTATAGCTGCAACGCGATTGAAAAGAGGAAAATTGTTTTAAGCCAATTCGAGTTGTACTGTTGTCAGTACGAACTGATTATACTGATATGCTTGTGGTTGAAACAAATGACGAGTGAAATATTTAGAATAACCAGAATGATGATTTTATGCATTTATAATACGAATCGAGTAGTTGTAATTTAAAATGGTAGAAAGATTAAAAGAATTTCCAAGTGTCAAGGTTTTATTTTTAATCTATTAACCAGTTAGCTGTTGCAATCCCTTTGAAAAGTGTGTGACTTACTGTAATTATACTGTTTATATTTGATATTCTTCATATTTTGTTTAAGTACAATACTTTCACAAAATATGTAATTTAATCAAGAATATCAAATAGAGAATAATTTAATAAAGAATATCCTTCTTAATCACAGGTGGCTGTTTTTACCGAGTATACTTGTCATGAATAGATGGCAATATTTTGTGCGATGACGAGCATACCCGTCAAAAACAGCTAACTGGTTGTGATGTATACTTTAATATTCTTTATTAAATTCATGAAAAGATGGCAACATTTTATGTGATGGCGAGCATACTCGTCAAAAACAACTAACTTCTTAAAATTATTAAACGGAAAAAGATCTTTCTATTTAATTCCTATTTCTTGCGATCGATGCAGGCAATTTTTGTTTCCCATAAAAATCCGCAGTCTAGAAATAACAATTTTTCCCGTTCAATGCATCTCATCATTATCCGACTTTGTTTTAAAGGCAAGGTAGGTACACGAGAATGACAAGAACATGCTATACAGGATGTCCCAAAAGTGTCTCGTAATACGGAAATGACGGGATCCTGAAGTCATTTGAAGTAAATTTTTCCTTAGCGAAAATGCAATCCGCGGCTTTGTTTACGAGTTATTAACGAAAAGCAGTGACCAATGAGAGACGGGATCAGCTGGCGCGAGACTACCGCCTCGCGCCAGCCAAGCTCGCTTCTTATTGGTCACAGTTTTTCGTTAATAACTCGTAAACAAAGCCGCGGGCTGCATTTTCGCTCAGGAAAAAGTTACTTCAAATGACCTCAGGATCCCCCTATTTCCAGATAGCGAGACATTTTTGGGACACCCTGTAGAATATTTCCTGCGGTCCGTTGAAACAAGGGAGCTGTATCGAAATGGCATTCGTTGGCCCGTTCGTTCGCAGAAGAATGGTCTTATTATACGATACGGGTGTGAGTGCAAATGCCACAGAGGGTGTCTCGTCGAAGCTCGGAAAATCCACTTACGTATACAACGGCCGGCCATTTCGGGTAGCTGGCAGGCGTTCCGAGGTGTCGAAGGCGGCGCGGAATTCGTCTGGTGTCGGGAATGATGCGAATGGTTGTTCTTCGATGAGTTGAAAGATTGCTGCGACGGTATCCGACGACCACCAGGCATTGGCCCCAGATTTATACCCCCGGCGCCATTGTTGCTGCTGCTGGCACTCTGAAAATTCAGCCGGGACGTTGCCATATCATTCCGTGTTACTTCCATCTAGTAAAACCATCGCGAATTTCATATCCCTTCGAAAAATCGATGCTTCGTTTACGATTCAAATTTTGTGTCGCTGGCGCAGATTGTCATTGAGCTATTAAAACTAATCTACTAAATATTGATGCTCCTCGCTTCTCTTAAATAGAAATAGTATTCAATTTGCCATCGGTATTTTGCACATAGAGCCAGTTTGAATATACGATAAATCGAAATGTTCTTTCTCGAGTAGGAATTTGTAAAATTGTAAATTTTTGAAATTGTTTTTGTAAAATTGTTGCCACATCCAGGGACCCGAAGGTTGGATTCTCTCGTGCAAGTTCCAAGCTCTGCTCGGACCTCTGCACGGCAACGATAAGCTATCCTGTGAGCGTTCTTGATCGATTCGGGAATACGTGAATCCCGCTTTAACGGCTTCTCAATGTCCGTGATTACGTCGCATCCTCCGAGGAAACATAGCCGTTTCAGCATAATTTGATTCGACTAGTGAGTATATTATTCGCCGCCAAACTAAGGGGAAACTTGGAGAGAAGCACACGCGAAATTTCTGCGAACGTAAACAGCCTCGATTTCCTTTGACGTGCTTCTCTTTGAATCGTCAGCGCTAATCGTCCAGGGAAATGAAATTAATTCAGACGATACAGAGCGAAATCGTAAAGGTTACACAAAATCGGAGCAACATATTTATCGATATTCCAGTAGAAAAAACAGAACTTGTTGCAAGCAATTGCATCTCTCGTAGATACCTGATTTACTTGATAGATCGTAATGAATACAGAATTTCAGGCTTGATAAAGCAATCGAATCTTTAAGTTCGTTATGTTGCGTTACGTGTTACGAATATCAACTTTTATGGATATAAAGGGTGTCCTGAAAATGTCTTGCAATCCGGAAATGGGGCTCTCTAACGTTATTCGAAGTAACATTTTTCTTAGCGGAAATGCAACCCGTGGCTTTGTTTACGAATTATTAACAAAAAAAACACGTCTCGCCTCTCATTGGTCACTGTTTTTCGTTAATAACTCGTGAACGAAGCCACGGATTGCATTTTCGCTAAGGAAAACATTGCTCCAAATAACCTCAGGAATCGCCCCTTTTCGGATTGTGAGACATTTTTGGGACACCCTGTACAGTGACCCACAAAACTATTCGTACATCATTTAAAACGTAATAACTTTTTTTTTAAATGAACCAATTGATTTGAATTTTTTGTAGATTATAAAAAGACTAGTCTACTAGAATTTCTAGTACGCGTATAAGTAATTGAGATCCACACAAAATGCTTTTCTTGAATTATCGTTATAGGCTTCCATAAAGAGGTTCAAACACGTTTTTGTCATTCCAAGTAATAACGAAATTAAAAAAAGCATTTTAGCCATTGTTTAGTAGAACTTGTCCTTCTTATCTATTGTCTATTATCTAAAAGAATTCAAATCACTTAGTGCACTTTCAAAAAGGTGTGCAAATCCCTTCGTGGGTCACCACAACGTCGCCGTTCGACGTATTGATTATGTGCAGAAGCTTCGAAATTTTCTTTCAGTCCGCAAGGCGTTTTATCCGATAAACTACAGAAACGAGGATGTGGTTGAAAGCCGGAAAGCTGTAAGACGAATAACAATTTGACTTCTGCGAGGGATATTGCCACAGTAATGCGGGGATTATCCGGCGTAAAATTACTATGCACGGCTCGTCGCGCCACCACGGACGAGTTAAGCCTTCTTCATGATCGGTAATAGAGAAATATTGTGTGGGATCACGACCGCACGTCCCAAGTGACAAAATATTAGCTGCCGGAAAAGGCTCGTATCTTTCCCCAGTTAGCAACAATACGCCCGCTTTATTTCCGCACGCCTTTATCTCCCGGCGTTTCTCAAATTTGATGTTCCCTTCAATTCCAGAAACAATACGAACCTTTGTTACGCCATAAAAACAAGTCTAGTCTACTGTTATTGTCAAACGCGGTGGACACATGGACGCGATCAAACGGTATTTGATTCGAGCCACTCAACCATCAGTTTTTCAAAATACACTTCTCAATATACAGGGTGTCCCAGGTTTTAATGTTCAAACTTTGCTAGTGTACTCTACGGCAGAAAGTAAGAAAAAAATGTTATGTAAACATAGGTCATATAGAGCATTATTAAGAAGTTATAACAAAAATTCAGAATAGGGATAGTAATCAACTTACTGTTGCTGCGAGCATTGGCTCGAATAGATCAGCACATGCCGTGTGTTTATGTAAGCTGTGTTTATTAATACATTTCGAAATGTATTAATAAACACAGCTTACATAAACACACGGCATGTGCTGATCTATTCGAGCCAATGCTCGCAGCAACAGTAAGTTGATTACTATCCCTATTCTGAATTTTTGTTATAACTTCTTAATAATGCTCTATATGACCTGTCTCTTATACACATCTAGATGTGTATAAGAGACAGGTCATATAGAGCATTATTAAGAAGTTATAACAAAAATTCAGAATAGGGATAGTAATCAACTTACTGTTGCTGCGAGCATTGGCTCGAATAGATCAGCACATGCCGTGTGTTTATGTAAGCTGTGTTTATTAATACATTTCGAAATGTATTAATAAACACAGCTTACATAAACACACGGCATGTGCTGATCTATTCGAGCCAATGCTCGCAGCAACAGTAAGTTGATTACTATCCCTATTCTGAATTTTTGTTATAACTTCTTAATAATGCTCTATATGACCTGTCTCTTATACACATCTAGATGTGTATAAGAGACAGGTCATATAGAGCATTATTAAGAAGTTATAACAAAAATTCAGAATAGGGATAGTAATCAACTTACTGTTGCTGCGAGCATTGGCTCGAATAGATCAGCACATGCCGTGTGTTTATGTAAGCTGTGTTTATTAATACATTTCGAAATGTATTAATAAACACAGCTTACATAAACACACGGCATGTGCTGATCTATTCGAGCCAATGCTCGCAGCAACAGTAAGTTGATTACTATCCCTATTCTGAATTTTTGTTATAACTTCTTAATAATGCTCTATATGACCTGTCTCTTATACACATCTAGATGTGTATAAGAGACAGAGAATATACTGACAAAGTTTGAACATTAAAACCTGGGACACCCTGCATGTATAGTAGAGATTTTGTCTAGTTGGCTCTGAAATATGGGAATTTTCTACTTTATTAAAAATGAAATTTAATAACGCAGAAAATTCTACGCCGGCAGTACACTTTTTGCATAGGTGTAAACAAGGTCGACGAAAAAGCTTTCGTGTTTCGTGTGCCGTTAAAATTATTCTATACAAGAAACATTCGAGCAGATTTTATAACTAAAGCGGGAGAAATACTGAAATTTTATTTTATTTTGGGTCTGTGTTGAGCAGGTATACACTACAGAGAATTTATAATTGATTGACTTCCAATAAATGAACCGGTAGTATGGCGGAAATTTGAGCATAAAGCTAAATACCTTTGTAATACGTGCATGTTTTAACAACATAGGTTGAAGGAAGTGACAGCGTTTCGACTGTCGTTATTGTATTAAAATGTCGAACAGTTGACAGCACGGGTCGTTTAAAACGCTGTGCAACGCTATTGATATAATACGTACAATTTATCTCACTGTGCAAGCATGTGTGGAGGCTTTATAAAGCACCGTTGTTTCATTTCCCAGATGATTCTGTGTTAGGACGACAATAATTCAGTGTCGCCATTTCTGATTCCTCAAAGAGGGAAGGTATTCCGATGTATTACTTTGTGCAATTAAATTTTGCATCGGTGCTTAATTAAACGCATGTCGCTCTCTTTAAACGTGTTCGAACGTTCACAATGCAGTAAAAAAATTATGTCGTTGAAGTCAGGATAGTATTTGGACTAGTTGTGCGAAGAATTATTAGCATAGTTTCCACGACCGACGCAGGGGAAATTCTCAAAGCTGGAAATTCTGTTATTCGACACTGTTTGACACTTTTTTCTATAAAAAAAACTGTATTTAAATAATTTAGGCAGCCGATCTTCGTGGAACTCTGTATACGGAAGGTCGGTTAACATAGTCTTGAAGTAACTCTTATTAAGATTCGTGGAATGAAGCGACTTTCTAGTTGACAGATTGAATTTTCTATTCTACTCCCTGCATAATAGTACATGAAAATTAGGACTTGCAAAACCGCAATGTAATCGGCGGTTAATAAGAGATCACGAATAAGGAGATTCCTCGAGAGGGAAACGGAAGCGTCATTTCCGCGCTGAATTCGCACTTTTGTGTGATATTCGGCACTTCACACGGGATTCTCTTTGACAAGGGTCTCTTCTACGCGGGACCTTGACCCGATAATCGCGAACACGTGTATTCGTCTCGGTATCTGCCAATTCATCGGGACCAAAGTGTTTGACGGCTCGTTGAAAATCGTCCGCTGGCGCCACGAACTGCGAAACGCCCGTGGCTCGCGGGAAACCTCCATTGCATTGAATTATTCATGTCGTTCGACCGTTTAAGATCCTCCTTCCCCTAGAATTTCCTCGATTGCCATCGAGTTGCTCGTCGACACGGTTGCTCAATAAACGACCACTTGGTGAATGAACGAGGAACGCGTCGCGCTCGAAGCCTCCTCGAACTACATAAATGATCCCAGTTTCAGTCACTGCTTGCTACTGCGACCGGGTAATTTAGTGTTTTCCAAGGCGAACCCCAAGCTAATTGATTAAAACGAAGTTTCAATTAAACTTAATTATAAATTAATTAAAACGAAGTTTTAATTAAGTTGTGTGTTCCTGATTAATTACCATAATATAATCGTCATTCGATGCCATTTGATTCCGTAAGGTCAAAATATTCAGTGCTGTTAAAAGTTTTCCTCGTTGTGTAGTTTTTTGTTAACAAAAATATATATTACAGGTCCGGTTGTGTACATATTTGTATAAAGTAATTAAAACTGATGCTACATCCGGTTCTAAAAAAGCTACCCCTCCGCATTTTTTATATTGATAATAGTCCCACGAAATAAATTCTGCAAACACGAGTCTTTGCAAGACGTGGTACAGTAAAATTATAGTTTCAATTCTCGGTTTATTTATGTATCGACTCAGTCTTACATATAAAATCACGACCAAGCAGTTTACACCACAATTTCGTAGACACCGTGTGCACGTACACCTGAGTAACACGACAGAGTGAATTACTCCTGTCTATTCGCACTTGCTTAATCACACAGCGAGATCCGCGATCTTTCGGGAAAATTCAAAAGAAGATCCTCAAACCGTCCTCCATTGGCGAGGCTGCAGAAACTCAGCGAGAAATCCTCAAATCGATCCATTGGAGACGGTGCCATTGGACATGGAACCGTCGGTCTTTTTCTTGATGTTCAGCCAATAACCGGTGGCAGGGATCATCATTATGGACTTGGGGCTAAACTTGAGGGGAACGGTGGTCTTCTCGCATGGCTCCAGCACGCATCGCTGCAGCAAGAAGTAGAAGAGGACCTTGGCCTCCATCATGGCGAACCGTTGTCCGAGGCAGACCCTCGGGCCTATACCGAACGGTATGTTCGTGTGCGGTGAGACCTCGCCGTTCAGGAACCTCTCCGGCCTGAAGACATCGTGGTCCGGGTAGTACTTCGGGTCATGGTGGATGCCAGCCGGCATGAACCATAGGAGATCCCCAGGCTTGACCTTGACAGGTTTTGCACCGGGTTCAGCCGGAGGAAGCTCGAACTCCTTAACACAGACCCTGTCGAGGAATGTGGCTATCGGGTACATGCGCATAGTCTCGTCCAGGAACGCGTCCATGTACACCATATCCCTGATCACCTCGTAGATCGGCTCGCCCTCCTCAATCTTACGACGCGCTTCCTCGACCTCGACCAGAAGTTTCTTCCGGACCTCTTGCTCGGTGGCGATTAACTGAGCGACTAGACACAGCATTGTCGATGTAGTCTCGAAACCACCCAGAAAGAACACGAAAGCCTGGTTCGTCATTTCGTCGATCGGCAGACGTTTGCCGTCCTTGTCCCGAGAGTCCATCATCAGCTGGATCACATCCGGTCGGTGGATACCCTGGTGAAGCAAGTTGAGAGATTACGTAGAAAAGGGAAGATGGGGCAAGCTACTGTTTTAAAATTCAGACTCTACGGCTTCCGGATTTGAACATGCGAATACTTCTTCAAGTAAAAAGGTACTAGCTAGATAGTCGAAAAGGAAAGACATTTTTCGTACAACATTACAAACGCGCGAACATGTTTTTATAATGTTTTGTATACAACGAATGCATTCTTCCTCGAAATCAACCATCTCGAAAACCGAGACCGATAGTAGAGTGCATCGAGCCCTCGCCAGAACTCACCTTTTCCTCTCTCATCTTCACGGTCTCGGCAACGACCCTGGTGAAGAACTTGCGCGGCCTGTCCCCGAATATTTTAATCCCCAGCAGCTTGGTGAGGGTCGGGAAGCTCCTGCCTATCAGCATCTTCAATGACACCAGAGTCGAGAAATTGAGGCACTCCCTTCCTACCCTGTAGAATTCGTTGTTGGGCTCCTTCAGTGAGTCTACGGCAATGCCGAAGCTGGTGGTCGCTACGACATCGTTGGTGTAACGTCGTGCCATATCCTGCATGTCCCACAATCGACCTTTCCCAGACTCCTCGGCGATGAAGTCGGCCGTCTTGTCGGCGCAGTCGACGATCAGTTTGAACATCGCCTTCATCTTTGAAGAGGTGAAGGCTGGGCTAAGCAGTTTCCTCATCTCTCGCCAGCGATCGCCTCGCAGAGCGAACAGGTTCTTGCCCATCAGCGGGTCCATGTCCTCGTTGACGAAGCCTGTATGGTCGGTGAAATGATCGAAGTTCTTGATGGCGATCGTAGCGACCAGCTCGGGGTCGCGGATCACGATCGTCGGCGAGACCAGGTTGTAGAATCCGAAGTACTTGAGGTGCTCGTACTTGAAGTAATAATTCGTCAGGTGTTCGCTGACGAATTTCCGACGAAACAGCACCGGTGCCATGTTGCCCACGATCGGCCATGGCTTCGTGAACTCTATTCCACGTTCCTCGAACACCGCGGGCCGATTCCACAGGTATCGATAGGCCAGCAGGCACAGCAGAACGAGGGCCAAGGCCGTCGTCAACGGACACATCTCGATCGTTGAAGTAGTAGACGGTTTTAGGAGCGGTAGTCTTGTCGGCGTTCCTCTTACGATGGACCCCAGCACGCAACTAAGAACGCGCCGGCGGTTGTTAGCATAATAGCTATCAGAAAGCGGACATGTGATCTCTGACGTTGTCGTAGATAAGTTTCATACATGGGTCCCGGAATCTACGTTGTTTTCTATTCTCGACGAGCCGTGCAGAATAGCAGATAGCGCGCACACTTTCAGATGAGATTGGCGTGTTTTTCCATTACCATGAACCGATTCAATTCGCTGTGCCGCAGGGACTGGTCCTTGAGTTAACCGTGATACACGATAGCAACCTAAAATAGGTCTTTGTCCCAGAACATGGTGCAAATGTGCAACTGTCCGAAGTATACGATAATAACGATACGCAATGGCTCCAGAAAGTCTCCGAACACTAAATTTTCGAATATCGACAAATTGTTTGTCGTGTTTCGGTAGAAGCATTTTCGGAATCATTGAAGCAATGAGTTTTAATCAATTATATAAAATTTGGAATAAATTATAGTCGATAATAATTATTACTTATTTTTATTATTACTACTATTTAATATTCCATAATACGTATTATGGAGATTTATATAAATTAGTCGACCAATGGAACCCGAGGTATTTTAATATAATAATGAATAATGAACCGCGGGTCGGTTCATTATTCGACGAAATTTTCAATTAAAACCTAATTGAAATGATGAGCGTTCACACAAGACTAGAATTCAACAAGTTTATCGTTGCACAGTTTCCGTACAAAATTTTTAACATATTGAGCACCGACAATTTGTCGAAAATTGAAAACATTCGGACAGACTATAAATCATACGGAATTTGTGCCAGTTATTGCGATCGCGTGTTATGCAAATGTTCCGAGAAAACGGAAAACCAAGGAGCTCAATGGGGTCGATATTCATGAGGTTTCTGCGCGGGCAATTGAATGTGTCTCGCAGGTTTCATTGACTTCTGTTTTTCTTGGCAGTGTCTGGCCGGAACGACTAGCGGCAATAGCCGCGGACGAGACTTCTCAACTATTTCCGAGGCTCATATAAATATCTGCAGGGCTTGCGTAATGGGTGTCATTCATCTTTTCGCTGGATTGGATAAGATAATTCATATCTGACAAATCATTACACGTGTTATATAATTCAGTACATTCTGATCATATAATAACAAGGTCCCGCATGGCTACTCCTACGTGGCTATTCACAGATGACATTTATATCTGCATCTCCAAGAGTCTATTTCTACTATCTGTCGATAACTTTTTCGTGAAATTGTGAATTGCAATATACATTCTCTCATTCAAGATGATTTAATTAACCTGGGATCCTGATACAATTTAAATATGTATGCAGATTGTTTCTTAAAATCGACGAATATGCAGTTATTCGCGTCACACGTTCTACGAACATTTTCGCTGTTTAACTCTTGGAGGCATATGATTTTAAAGAAAATGAAAACCCAGGTTACACCAAATATACCGTTGTGAAAGACACAATCATTCACTGCACTACACAATTCGCCAATCTTAATCACAACAATATCAATAATTTACTAATACGATTTGACTTACGTAAATGTTTGTTTTCGCTTATTTACACATCTACCGTAGGTTCACAGCCAATTAATTAAAATATTAAATTGCATAAATATGAGTGTCCTCAACTTTGCAAAACAGTGTTTAACCCACCTATCCCCAGAGTTAAAAGTTTAACCCTCCACCGGCAATCTGAATCTTTAGAGTACCCAGACTAAAAGTACTCAATCATCAATTGTATATTAAAGTGGGAACTGCAATAAGTATTCCAGAATTGTTATTAAAAAATCAAGACCGGACTTGAAAGTTCCGAGCTGCCAGTCGCGTCAGTATAAAAACACTTTGCCGGCGGAGAATTAATGGCGAGCGCGTTCGAGTGCTCGCGGGACCGTGTTTTGATGCATCCTTGCGGAGAATATTCTATAACTTTGATAAATATTAACCAATTCACTGAAAATGGCAGCCACAACGTTGCTACCGGAAGATTAATTTTTCATGTACTTTTAGCTGCTTAAAGTATTTCATGGCGAACGTTCGACCACTTCTCGACATCCTCCACAAAAGCTCCACAGTTTCCAGAAGCGTTATCCAATTTGCTTGAAAATTTAATGTACATAATTTCCATATCTGTACCTCGTGATGGTCGCAGCAATATTATCAGGAGAAAAAACCACTCTGTTCAAGTTGGTGAATATCGATTAGTTACATTCGAATGATAAACATCGAATCGATAAAAAGTCACGATTATCGTTATCCAATAAGTATCTCTAATAGTTGTTGAGTACTAATTATAGGTGCTCGTGCTACGGCAGATATTTTCGAACACAATTCACGGAAATGTCTGTTGTACGATTCGGAAATTTCTGATCGCGAGAGCAGTTAACGTTCGATCGATCGATTGCCTCGGAAGCATGATTTCTTTCTTCCAGCCGACCGTTTCGCAAGATGCAGAAGACCAACACTGGGTCATATGTTACCCATGCCATATCTATCTTAGAATTAAATTCTTAAGCTTTTTCATAAGCTTCACAGAAAGTTTCGCGAATTCAGTATCAAAAAATTTCGTTTCAACGGTTTATTCGTGTTTAACTTTTTTAGTATCCTGCGACAGCCTTAGTCTACTACATACGTTAAAATTAAATATGTAAAAGACGGAAGTTCTTAAAATACCATAAAAATTATTTCAATTTTTTGATACTGAATTCGCGAAACTTTCTATATGGTTTCTATATATATATGTTTAACAACGTTCAACTAATGGATAATAAAGACACATAAGGGTTCGTAAGCTTCGCGTTCGAGGGTTGGTGAGCGACTCTTACTTTTCGCTTCGTGGCCAACGCCCAGCGAAAAACAGGTCGTTTGTTTCGACGAGTGCGCCACGACAAATGCGCTCCGCGTATCAATTGATTTCTATCGATCATCCTTACCGACTATTATACAAATAAATAGTGAATTGTTTTTAAATAAAAAAGATATATTATGTTTTATTTGATAAATATTAAGTTAAGTACGCCTGAAAATAAAGGAAAAACGAAGTAATCGATTATCCCACAGTAATTGGCTCCACTATCCTAATCGATCCCATTTGTATTTGATGCGAAGTATATGCGCTCTTCGTGTAGCACTTGAAAGAACGGCAGCCTATTTTCGGAAGCATAATATTCCCGGTTCCTCAGCGTCTTGTCTAGCTGAACTATTTTCTGCTCTTTCCGATCCGATTAAATCACGCGACACGTGCTACGAGAACATCACGCGCGTCCTATTGACTATCAATGACGCTAAGCCATCGTTATCGATCATAATCACACGAGCTACCGTCGCTTGTCGACGGATGCAGAGTTTCGCATTTAATATTGTATCAGTAGTATCGGTAACACAATTTGATACAGTTAATCGGACCTTTCAGTTCATTCAATTATTGATCATTTTATTCACGAGTATAATTTAAATACAATTGTATGTGTGTGTGTGTGTGTGTGTGTGTGTGTGTGTGTGTGTGTGTGTGTGTGTGTGTGTGTGTGTGTGTGTGTGTGTGTGTGTGTGTGTGTGTGTGTGTGTGTGTGTGTGTGTGTGTGTGTGTGTGTGTGTGTGTGTGTGTGTGTGTGTGTGTGTGTGTGTGTGTGTGTGTGTGTGTGTGTGTGTGTGTGTGTGTGTGTGTGTGTGTGTGTGTGTGTGTGTGTGTGTGTGTGTGTGTGTGTGTGTGTGTGTGTGTGTGTGTGTGTGTGTGTGTGTGTGTGTGTGTGTGTGTGTGTGTGTGTGTGTGTGTGTGTGTGTGTGTGTGTGTGTGTGTGTGTGTGTGTGTGTGTGTGTGTGTGTGTGTGTGTGTGTGTGTGTGTGTGTGTGTGTGTGTGTGTGTGTGTGTGTGTGTGTGTGTGTGTGTGTGTGTGTGTGTGTGTGTGTGTGTGTGTGTGTGTGTGTGTGTGTGTGTGTGTGTGTGTGTGTGTGTGTGTGTGTGTGTGTGTGTGTGTGTGTGTGTGTGTGTGTGTGTGTGTGTGTGTGTGTAATTCAGATACAATATAATTGCGAAACAGTTCTTCAAATTACAGGCCAAAACTTTGAAAAAGTGAAATACATTTTTACTCATTGCTTGTCCCATCTGCGCATTTTCTACTTCTCGTCCTCATTACGTGACGTTGTCTTACGTTCATGTTCTCTGTCCACCCTTGCTTCGTGTTTATACTAGAACTTTTACTAACCGGATATCCAGAACTAAGCATTATTTAACAAGTACGAACCGCGTTATGCCCGATGTAAATGGTATTTTCCCAATTCTCACACACACACATACCGATTATATTTTTATAAAATTTATTACAAAATTTGTAATTTTTTTAGTTCATAGAAGCCGCGGGACGAGCCCACGATATACATAGTTTCATTTAATATCACGAAAAATTATAACGGCCAAAATTCATTGTGTTGTGGGAAACTATTGGGTTGGCAACTAAGTAATTACCGATTTCAGTTATAGATGTCTCTCACTCCCATTTTTATGATATCCGTAAATGTTATATATTATAAAATTATTATTATTATGTTATTTTTTATTGTCCGTGAATGTTAGCAACTGGACAAATTGAATGCAGCGGTCAAGGAAAAGCGACCAGAATTGGTCGATCGTAAAGGTGTCATTTTCCAGCAGGACAATGCTAGGCCGCACACGTCTTTGTCCACTTGGCAAAAATTGATGGATATTGGTTGGGAATTGATGTTACACCCACCATATAGCCCTGATCTCTCGCCATCGGATTACCACTTATTTCGATCCCTGGACAACTCCCTTCGTGGTAAAACTTT